CTCTCTCTCTCTCTCTCACACACACACACACACACACACACACACACACACACACACACACACACACACACAGGCTCTCTCCCATTCGCCTCTCTCTCCATAGCTGGCTCTCTCGGAGTCACGTACTTCCACGTACAAGGATCATGTCCACGTTCAGGGAACCTGCGCTCGTGTCGTGTGCCCGCTCGTATGTGCATTATCTAGAAGGCCCATGAACGTAGGTTCCATGAACCTGGACATGATCCTTGAATTTGAAGGTCGCGGATACTCTCCACGTGTCGGGATCCTATTCCCTCCTGACACGTTTTTTGCCATCTTCATGCAAATTCCTTCACCTCTCTCTCTCTCTCTCTCTCTCTCTCTCTCTCTCTCTCTCTCTCTCTCTCTCTCTCTCCCCCTTATCCCCGTTTTCTTTTTGCATCACGCTTCATCCGTGCGACAAGTGCTTCATGTGCTTCTCGTAGGAAGATGCAGTGTTCCACAGCGACGAACTTCTCCTCCCTCGTTTATCTTTCCACCGCTTACGCCATCTCCCCCCTTGCTCGAGCTCATCATCTCGTTCCCTTCTTTTTTCTCTTACCGTTTTCTCCTTCCTTCCCCCCCTCCTTGTTTGTCTGTGCATCTATCTGTCCTTTTTTTTTTTTTTTTTAATATTTTTAACCTTGTTCGTTTATTCTTGCAAATATTAAAGACGAGGCCGGGGGGACCTCACAATTCAAGCCGGAGTAATCCTGGCAGCATTAGCCAGTTTGCCTGATATTTCGTTTTTCCTCCCTTCCCCCTCCCTTCCTCCCATTCCTCTCCTCCCTCGCCCTTCCTCCTCCTCCGCCTCCTCCTCCTCTCGGCTGGGTTCCGTCCATGTCAAATTGCGGACCGGGAAAAAAAATAAACCAAAAAGGGAAGAAAATCAACCAAAAAGGGAAAGAAAAAGATAAACGGCGAAGGCTGACGCGGTCAGGCTTCTCTTCCTTTCCTCCGCTTGCGTTCGATTTTTTTTAATTTTTTTTTTCCCGGTCCGTGTGATGTTGTGCTCGGGACAAGCGGAGCGGAAAAAGAAACGACCATTTCAGTATCGCCATTGCACTTTTTTTTTTTTTTTTTTTTTTTTTTTCGGCCAATGCGCATTCTGAAGCGTTTTCTCTAGAAACAAAGAAGAAAAAAGATGCGTCTTTGGGCGTCGCTCCACTACTCTCCAAAATGTGCAAAATGAGACCGAATCCACCGCTAGAACATGGAAAGATATACGTTGCCACAATGTTTTTGTCTTTTATGCAGTGGCCGAGGGCCTTTGTTTGTTTGTTTGTTTATTTTTCTTTTCTTCTTTTTTGTTTGTTTGTTTGTTTGTTGCTCAATTTCCTTTTTTATTTCATAAAGCTGTTTTTTTTTTTTTTTTTTAATCTGTTTTCTCCGCATCGGGGGTATATATATATTGTCACAAGAATATCGGAGCGCAAATGGAAAAAAAAGATGGAAAAAAAGAAAGAAAAACAGGGAAAAATGAATTCAGTTTTTTATCTTCTTCCTTATAACTCCCCTGTTCAGAACCTCTTGTATATATATATATGTCACAGCCCCTCGTTTGTTGTCCTCTTCTCTCTCTCTGCCTACGGTTTACCGGGCAGTTCTGTTTGTGACGATATATATATATATGTACCTCATTTGTTGTCCTCTTCTCCCTCTCTGCCTACGGTTTACCGGGCAGTTCTATTTGACGATATATATATATATAAACCGTAGGCAGAGAGAGAGAAGAGGAGAACAAACGAGGGGCTGTGACAAACTGTTTCGTCGGAGTTTCACCGACTCATCAGGAGGCTGAATATATATATATATTTTCCGCCTTCACGCTCTGATTTACAGTGTGACAATATATATACATACAATATATACAATATATATATATATATATATATTGTGACGATAAATATATATATATTGTCGAATTGTGAATCAGAGCGCAAAAAAGGGAAAGAAAAAAGGAAAAGGAAAAAAGGGGGAGGGGGAAGAGGTAAGGAAAGCTCCACCTGTTCATAACCTCTTACGTACAAGGCCAGCCACGTGGATGACAGGTTGAGCGCTGGCT